CCCATCTCTCCTTGCCATACCACATAATGTTCCTACTACTCAGAACTCCTCATCTTTCTCTGATAGCATGATGCCCTCTCCGCTCATGTAAACCTTCGGCCTGAAGTGCTTCACCCCCTTATCTCTGGCCAACTATCAAAAGCCAGTTCCAAATCATCTTTCCAATTCCAGCTCTCCTACCCTCTTTCCTCTCGGTACTCCCACAACACAGTGTTTATTCCTTGATTATAATTGTGTTTACACATGCCTCCTCTAAACTCAGAGCAGACGGCCTGGGTGATACTTGGCCATAAATCCTTAAAAAATGAAACTTGCTTGTCCTCATGATTCTGTAGTAGTAAAAAGATTAATCAGAAAAAGGCTTGTTATATTTAAAAAATAAAAACAACCTACACTTTCCTGAGATAGAAATCATAACTCCATTCTTATTCCAACAGCAATAAATAGCTGCCAAGAATTACCCGGATTTGTCCCTTTTCCATTTTTTTTCAATCTCTAGTGGATTTTAATTTTGTTTTCATGATTGCCATCTTTTAAAAATCTTTCCTTCTCTAGCTCTTGCCACTTCAAAGTAGGCACAATTTACAGTTCTAGTGAATCAAAGACCTTTATTGGGAAATCCAACCCCTATGAATATGTTCTGCCTTTTCTGGCTATATTTCAATTACTTCTATACGTATTGAAATCCATTATTTTCCTGAATCTCATTTATTGTGCCTCTTACTCATTGTGCTTTTGGTTTTATCATTTAATTGAAATAGGTAATAGAACATGGAAAAAGAGCTAAAACCTTAGCTATTTGGATAGAAATGGATTAGGGGAGGCTGAAATTGGTACAGACCAAGACCCACAATAAAGGCTTGGCACAAATGGAAGGACTGTTACCATGAATTCTAAATGTGAAGTCATTTGAAAAGAGGCTAATTTGATGTTTGCCTCTGATATTTATTGATACTTTGGTAGAAAATTAGTAACACCCTAAAAATTTCTCAAAGAAATGTTCCAACTACTGAATAACAACACTAATAATAAAAACTTGTAACAACTTTAAAATTTATGTAATCCTAGTAAATTACATAAAACTAATGAGAAAGATCATTTCATATTTTCATATTTATTTATGTAAGTGAACATTGTAAAAGGTCTGACTCTAACATACTGGACCAGACCTGAAAGACAGGAATCCCAAAGAAAACTTACATAAAGCTGTCACTCACTGTTCACTTATTTATGAGCACTAATTTTACCATATTTACTTCCTATTGACCTCAAACTTATTTTAGCAACAAAGTTTTATCTTCAAATAGCTATCCATCATCCACTGATAGCAACACTTGAACAATAAGTATGTCCACTGAACAGTAGGTTGTTAGCTTGCTATAGTTGGAAACAACTTGCCATTGCAAAGTACTCTGTGATTCAAATAATTTATTAATTTGTATCACTGCCTATCCATTGATTAATACAAGTAAGGTTTTTTTTACTCTAAAGACCAATAAAATAAAATACTTAATGACCCAGCTTTAATTTTTAAAGTTAGTAATCAAAAAATCTTACTTTCATATGTAATGTTTTGACCTAGAAATGAACCATGGTTTCCAAATGTTGAAGTACTGTCTGTGTTTACTAAGGTAGCCCACGTGTTTCTTCTAATTCAACCCATATTTGCATTAAAGATGGTTCAATTCAGAAAGAAAAATGGGATTTCAATCAGAGCAGAAGAAAACACCTGCCATTAATCCCAAGAGCACAAGTGGGGTCTGGAGTGTCCAAAGCAGCCACCACAGCTGTGAATGGAGGTTGACCTCTGCTTCGGTTTTGTCTTGAGCTGGCAGGTGCCAGGACGCCATTCTGTCTGCCCAGAAACACCCACTTTTGAAGCAGCAGTATTTATTGCTCAGTTGTGAATTCAGATTTTCATGTGTTCATGTAAGCATCCTTGCTTATAGTAAACTGTCTAAAGAGTGCTAGTTGATGTGTGTGGCTTTGTCATTAGTAATTGTACTTTTAGAAAAAGAGTCATTTCTGTTCCCCACTGTAAAATTATTTCAGAAAAGCTTTGACTTCAAACATGCCATATAACCTAATAAAGTGCCTTTAGAGGACTGGTACAGTGAGAGACTTGGCCTCTGGAGTCTCACCAGCAAAAGCAAACAATTTTAAAGAAGAGAAGCTTTCAATGGGGAAGTGATGAAGAAGGTAGCAGTCTACAGTAATTGTAAGTGACCTTGCAGTAGCTGGATTTTCTAGGGATTATTTTTCTTAATGCTAGTATATGGGAAGTGTTTGACTGCAGCAATAGACTATTTGGCTTTTCCAGAACAGGCTGTTCAACTTTTCTGAATCAGCTTCTCCCACCATATTCTCCACCAGTGCTTAGAACATTGCCAAACTCTTTATATGCATTCAACAAACGTATATGAAAATCAAAATCGAGTTAGATAGCATGTTACTTAAATGAAGACTAGAATTGCCATTGTATTTCTTAAATTTGATGGTAAAATTAAGTATCCTGTCATTCTTTTCTTTGGGTGTCCTGTGTCTCACCCAAAATAAAATCCTACTTGTGGAGTGTTAGTGAGCATTTTGCATGTGGTAAAAGTAACCAAATAAATTTCTTAAACTTAATTTTGCAGAGGTAGACAGAGAGACTGAACTAATTACTCACTAATTCTGATGCACAGAAAACATAAATAAAAACATAATTTATTGAAAATGTTAAGAAAAATAATTTTCTTAGTGTCCCTTTTTCTTTAATGGCAAAATTACTTTTTGAGTAAGAGATTAAAGGGTTAGCTTAGCTGATTCCATTATCTTAGTCCCCCCACTCCCTCACCCTTTGATCCTCTCAATTCCTGTTGCTCACATCTTAAACTTGAGATCTTGGGGGTCACTGCTCAGAGCATTGTGGGAAATTCAACTGGGAGGCATTTTGGAAGGCACACAGTCATCACTGTTTCTGAGAACCTAGTTCTAGAGCTGTGTCCCAACACTTGGCGTCCCAAACCACTGAATATAAAGTCACACAGACTAGGTTAAAGTCCTGGCTAACTCAAAAGAGGCCTTGACAATCTTTGAGGTTCATTTTTGTCACCTATAAAAGGCGTATCATAACACTTTCCTCATTGCATGGGGAGAATATTAAATGCAGTAATGGGTGAACTTTCTTTGTTGATGGCAAAAATATAAGATGACATTATTGTTACTACGAATTTCATGCTAACCTCACAGCTGTTACCACGAGTGTCACACCTGAGGATAGGAATTTGGTATAGTTCCTTTGTTGCTGATACTTAGCAGGAGCCACTTTGGTAGGCAGAGCATTCCTACATCCCCACCTGAAGTGACATGCCTCTCCCCACCGGGCCTAAGACAGGGTTCTTTACCTGAACCTCAGCTCTACTTCTGGTCTACACTTGTCCTTGTCTCATGGTCCTGGTAAAGCAAAGGTGACAGATTGAAGGTAACTCTGACGTGCCCCATTTCCTCAGTTAAGCCAAGTCCTAAAAGTCAGCTTCATATTTAGAGCGGGGAAAAGAAGTATTGATGCCTGTAGAATTGGTACTTCCTGCTAGTATTCTTCTTGTTGTTCAAAGGTAAAGAAAATCTCAGTGTGGCTCAACAATAGACAGCTGCCCAACAAAACAGAAATTCCTAAAAATGACCATATGTATGGTCATCTGATTTATGACAAAGATACCCCTGTGCTGCAGTGGAGAAAAGATGCATTTTCAATAAATGGTGTTGGGTTAATTTGATATCTACATGGGAAGAAAAAACGTCTTGAGTTTGACCTCATATCATGCACAAAATCAATTCTTCATTAGTTTAGATCTAAATATGAAAGATAAAATAATAAAGCTTTTAGCTTTTAGGAAGAACATAGAAGAACCCTTGTGACTTTGGAGTAGGCAAAGATTTCTTAAGTGGAACCAATCAAAAGGACAACTCAATAGAAATCTAAGAGCAAAAGATGTGAACAGGCACTTTATGGAAGAGGATGCAAAAAGGCCAATACATGCATTAAAAGGAGTTTAACTTAATTAAGTGCTAGCAAAATGCAAATTAAAATACAATGTAAAACTACTATATCTCCCACTAGCATGTCTAAAATGGGAAAGATGGAAAATAGCAATTATCGATGACAATATAGGGGAACTGAAATTCTCCTACATTGTTGACTGGAGGGAAATAGTTAGAACCACATTGGAGAACTACTTGGTGGTATGTACTAAAATTGAAATATGTATTTCTGTAACCCAGTAATTCTACCCCTAAATATACACCCAACAAAATGCATATAATATTTAATCAAAATAAATATACGAGGATGTTTATAACAGCACTATTTTTAATAGTCAGGATCCAGAAACTCCTGAAAATAAATGGTCATTGACAGTAGAATAAATAAATAATTTATTTGTGAATAAATAATGATTTATTCATATGGTGGGATATTGTAAAGCAATAAGAACAAATGATCTACAGCTACATAAAATTTGCATGAATTTCATATATATTGAGCAAAAAAGGTCAGACACGTAGTGTAAGTTACCATTTACATAAAGTACATAAACAGACCATTCTGTCTGAGGTCAGAAATAGTGGTTACTGTTGGTTGGTTGAGAATAGTGACAAGGAAATGTCACTGCAAGTGCTTCTGAGATTCTTTGGCTGGGTTCTGCTTGCACGAGTTGGTTCAGTTTGTGAAATGCATTCAGTATATTATGTACTTATGACACACATACCTTTTTCTTTGTATGTGTGTGTGGTATAATGGTATAACTAAATATACAACCATTGCATCATATATATAAAATAATATATATGTATATATTTACTATTTTCACATTCAAACTGTAGAACAGTTTAGAACCCAAAAACTCTTGTGAAAGCTCTATGTTCTTGCATGAATCTTACAACTAACTCTAACTAATCTATTCAAACTATAATTTTGTGAAATATATTTAAAATTTTTTTTCTCTTTTTCTTTTTTTCAGGGCCCTCCTGGTCTAAAAGGTGATAAGGTAAGAAAATACATAGCAGAAACTAATAAGTTAGTGGAAGTCCATTGGCATGACCTCTATTATATTTTGGTCTTTTATAAGAAGGATCACGTGCAGACTTTGTGTTAAAACTATCTATCATCTCATCTCTCTACTCTACAGGGAGAACAAGGTGATCAGGGACCTCGGGTAAGTTATATTCTTCCAATCCTGGGCAGAGGATTAGTTTTCAGCTCCCAACTTACTGAGTTAAAGTAGCCCTAGCTTTGTAACTGCCTTTGTGCCTACCACTTGTAAATGAAAGTGCCTTAATAATAACTAATGTGCCTATCCTGTTGCATTATCTTTACTTGATACCTGCAGATACGACACTCTACAATAATTAACCCTACTGACAAAGGGCCAGAGTCACTGCCAGAAGTCAGCAATAACCACCTTTCCAGTGGCTGGTGGGTCCTTCAGGTTTACATACATTGTATTGCAATGTAGAGACCATTTGGATTCCTGTGGAATTTGGCCTTTCTCAGCAGTTGAACTTTATGTGCTATTGCATAAATACGTTATCAATGAATATATTAATGCATTTTATATTTTTACTCTTCATCGTAAGTTCAAATGATACTTATTTGAATTTATTTTTTACAGATTTTCAAGCAGATAAAAGATGCAATATAATTTAGCATCCCAGGGACGAGGAATATTCTTGTATTCTTCTCAGATGTGGCTCCTTTAGCCATTATAACACAATGGTGAATGTGTTGTTGTTACCTTGGTAGTGCCAAGTTCCCTGCCTCACATCTGTGCCTTATTACCCAAATGTTCAGACATACTGTTCCAATGATGTAGTGGCTCCGTTCAGACATACCTCTCAATTTTCTCATGTCACTATGCACAAAAGCGAGTATTTGGTTAAAGAGTCAATTTTTACAATGGAAAAGCACATTTAAAACTTGCAGGTTGAAAACAGAAATTGTAGGTTTTTGTAAAATGTACTGTGCATAGTTAATTATTGAATTAGTTTATACTGCAGTAGAGGTGTATTGCGAAAGATGCAGTTGAAAGGTTTATAGCATTATCTTCTCATGTTTCCTAAGCCAAATAAACATTATGCTATGAGTCACTTTCCTTATATCAGCCATTTCTTCATATAGAGATAATGATAATGCCTCAGAACATTGGGTTTCTTGTGGCAATGCTGATGACTAACACCTACCTAAAAACTTGTCTTAATGGCCAAGGAGATTAAACATCACGATACCTGTCATGGATGTGAATGGAATAAAAATTTCATAACCTTGCACAATGAGAATATAACCACTTGTGCTGTATGCAGTGATTATTTCACATGGCACGTCTCCATGTATTGAGTATCACTTCTTTCTACACACAGTATCAAAATCACTCCACTTGCCCTTTCCAGGTAAGAGGGAAACTGTTTCCATTCCGAGAAATCTTTTGGCAGAGGAAGTGAAAGGGTGGTTCACAGCTTAGCTGTCATCAGTATGCATGCAGTCCTCATTTTCAAAAAGGTGTGTTGGCTTTCATCGTTCCAAAAAGTGATGATTGATTATAAAGCTAGGCCAAATTTTCAGGGTGAAACCTGAAACCATGTGAAATTCACCTGGTTTCACGTTGCATTACAAACTAAGACTTGGGCCAGGTTCCTTGCTAGTTTGGCCAAAGTTCATGAACTACTTTGAGAACCCAGACTGCCTTTCATACAGATTTCAGCCAGTTTTCACACTGACTGGGGCCAAGTTTCACACGATTCAGGAGCCATTTAGCATTTCAGGTGGGAAGTGTCGAAAATTAATTCCATTTTCCCCTGGATTTTGCTTTGTATTGAAGGAATTTAGATTGAATTCATAATTCAGGATGAATCTCCTTGGATCAAAATCCGATGTCCTGGGAAGTATGTGAGAAAGAAAATGAAAACCTGCCAGATTGCCTGTTCTTCCCTCAGATTCATAATTTAGAAACAAGACAGGTCACATTCAGTGCTCCTAGATTTTATAAACACTATTTTCTGGTAAAATAGTACTAGCTACTTATTAGGAAATTTATCATATCAAGATAGTAAAATAAAGGTTTTATATTTCCAGAAAAAATCAAAAGTAAGTTAGAACTAGAAAAATCTTCAGCTTTAGTGAAAATTACCTTTACCCACATCCTCCATATGCACACTATCCCAGCTGATGCTTACAGAGACTCTCTTTTTTAAAATGTAGATCTTTGTCTTTGAATACCCTGCCCATTTTCAGCCTATCACAGGTTTTGAATCCTGCTCTTTTCACCTTGTGTTGCAGCTGATTTCTTTCTTCCATCATTAGCTTAACAGTATGGCCTTCGTCATTTCAGTGCTTTGTCAGCTGGCTTTCCATTGTGTGATCTGAGCTAGTTCCTTGAATATGAGGTGCTTTTTGTTATTTGGCTCCCTGCATGTCAAAAAGGAATATATTAAACCATATGTGAATCAAAGCAGGAAAAAAATTAAAGATAATGTAGAAATTAAGAAGGTGACACTATTTTGGAACATCTGGACATACATTTATAGTAATATATATTTTTAGCATCTATCAGGTTCAAGATACCATGCATAATACTATATATACTAAATGTGTCCATTTTCTTCTTCTTCTGCCAAATTCAACCTATCAGTCTCATGTTCTTGATTATTAGAGTAGTCTTCCAGTTAATCTTGCTTCCACTCTTGACCCTGTATGATGCATTTTTCTACACAGCAGCCAGATCATTTTACGTTGTATATTAGATCATGTTACTTGCAGTTTTAAGCCTTAGAATGAAATCATAACCACCTTGCTTGGCCTCCATGGACCTTCAAGAGCTGGCCCTTGCCTACCTCTGTAACCTCATCTCACACTGGTCTTCCCCTCCATCCATGATGCTTCAGCCATCCTCTCCTCCATGTGTACTTCAAATACACCACCCTCACCCCCAACTTGATGACTTTCCTTATGCTCTCTTCTGGTCTTCTTGTGATTGGGTTCTTCTTATCATTGAGATTTTATCTCAAATACCTTCTCTGGGAGAATTTCCCTGACTACCCCATCTAAATTTGACATTATTCTATTTTGTTCATTTATTTACTTGCTTTTTGTCCATAAAACATGCTCCTCCTTAAAAAAAAAAGACTCCATGTGAGCAAGGACCTGGTCTGTCTTGTTCATACCACCATCATCTACAGCAGTAAGGGCTCAATAAATATTTGTTGAATGTTAAAATAAAATATTATTACAATCATTACAACCTCCAAGAGCTTATAATCTTACAGCTGCCTAAATAAGAAAACTATATGGTTGTGTGTTATGTCTTAATTAGCTATACCAAGAGATGCTAGATAAGTGTATATTCTTCCATTTTAAATAATCACTGGACACTGGAAGAAAGGACACTTGAGTTAGGACTTATAAATGGGTAATCTTTAAAGGTTAATAAGAGCAAGGCATTCTAGAAAGAAGAAATAGAAAACAATATTATGCAAGGAGGGAAATGACAGGATTCATTTAAGGACAATAATATTCCATTTGCCAAGGATACAGGTTAAATATAGAAAACTTGTATAAGGCTGAAATTTTTCATTGAAGTTGTCTTACGGAGCATTTTGAATGTCCAGTTTGCTAGGCAATAGTGAGCCGTTGAAGATTTTTTAGTACATCATTTGATGTATATTACCAGCAGACTATTTGGTGTTGTTACCAGATGTTCTTTATGAAAATCTATTTGGTGATAGTGTCTAGTATGGAATGCAGGGGAAGAGACCAAGCAGACCAGGAAGATAGGTAAGTTATCCCTGACAAAGTCATAAAAATCTGGGCTATAATAAGAATGTCCAGTTCTTGTTGGAGAGGTGAGCAGAGAGGATGGACTGGCTCCTTCTGAAACATCAGGTACCAGTGAAGGTAAGGGGCCATCTTACAGAGAAGACTCAGGGTCAGAATAAGAAGCTCAGCAGTGGGGAGGGGGGTGAGCCAAAGAAGAAATTCCAAAGGGTCCACCTAAGTCTGGGGGAAACCTCTGTATTTTCTGTGAGGCCTGGGATAGGAGTTTATTTTCCTCACATAGTAAGAAGTTCAAAGAAGACTGTTGATGTTATTATTTATGTACTTCAGTGATGTCAGCGTGGAAGTCTCTGAATCTCTTGGCCTTTCCCTTGATCATTGTAAGAAGGCTACTTCAAGTCCAACATCACATCTAAAGCTCTGTCAGTAAGTAGGATAAAGGAAAAAGGGTCTGTATCAAGAAAACAAAAATTTCCCCATGAATTTTTCATAGCAGACTTCTGCTTATGTTTCATTGGTCGGACAGTGTCACACAGTCACCTCACAGCTGGCATGAGCCGTGGAGAATGGGCTTGAAAAGGAAAGTTGGGTCATCTCACCAATAGGCTTTGCTACAGTGCCAGGCACAAACGTGGGCAAATGAGAAGGCCAGGGATGACACTGGTAGAGGGGAAATTAATTGAAAACAAGCCTTAAAGCAGGAGGTGGGGGATGAATTCAGTCTGTATTGGATTTATACCCAAGATCTGTGGCCACGGGTGGTATTGTGGCAATGTTAAAGTTAAAAAAAAAAAAAAAAGACAGGGAATAAAATGGAAAATACTGAGGTGAAAATTCAGCACAAGTCTTGGAGCTAATTAGATGTAGGGGCCAAAGTTGAAAAAGAAGATAAAGATAAGCCTGAAGTTGCTGACTTGATAAAATTGGTCAGAAGAAAGTCAGGAGGATAAATGACAAGTTCAATTTTAGTTGTGAATTTGTGATCTTGATGAATTATTTCACTGCAGTAATGTGGCAAACAGTTGGAAAAATGACACTGGAAACCTGAGGTGGTATCATAGCTGTGAGGAAACAATTATGTAGCCAAACTGACACAGAGTGAGAATTGAATTTACACAAGTAGAAAAATAGTGGATAAAGAGTGAAGCAAGAACCACGTAGAAATACTCACATTTGGGGAATGGGGCCAAGGGGAACACTCAGAAAAGAGAGTGAGCACTCCCAGGAAACACCAGGGTGCGGCAATGTCTGAACACTCAAAAACTGCTTTTTACAAAAATGAAAGTGGCCAACAGAATGTTCTTAACAATAGGAAAGCCACAGGGATGAAGTCCACAAGCTTTTGGATTTGGTGTTCTCGAGTCATGGTATATCAAGGGAGTGCATTTT